CTCTATTATCAGTTGCTGTATCTGTACGTGTAAAAATAGCGTGGCAAGTTTTATGAGAATTTTGTTATTATTAAAGTTGTAGGGTTATCCGACAAATTACCATATTATCGAGTTGTAGAACTAATTCCATCAAGATCGTGTGATTTGTCAGATAAACGTGGAATAAAAATGAATGGGGTTTAATGGCCCCCGTTTTTGCACCGACTGGGCTAATAAGAGAGAGAGAGAGAGAGAGAGAGAGAGAGAGAGAAATGGGGTTAAACGTCCACTCGACACAAACTAGGTCATCTCGGGACTAACATATGGTTTAATTTTATTTCCATAATTCGCTTGCGCGTAGGGGTCTTTAGCAGTGGGAGGAAATCGGAGGACCCGGAGAAAACCCACGAGGTTGGACAGGCGCCCCTACTTCTTGCCACGTACAACCGGGGATTCGAAACCACGCCAGTCGACTCAATGACAGACTGTATGATACAGCGCGCGCACGCTAACCATTCAGCCATCCAACCCCCCTCTGCACCAACGGGTGTACGCCATGCTATGTGCTATGAAGGAAATATTGGCATCTCTTCTCTTCGTCGAATTGCAAGTGTTAACGATTCTTTTACCTGAACGCCAGGTTTTTTTGTCCCATCCGAAAGACCATGGCAAGGAAATGGATTGGGGGTTAGTGAAGTGTGCTACATGGAAATATTTTTTCCGCTCCACTCTTAATCGAATTTCAACTGGGAAGGGTTCTTTTACCGGCACGCCAACGTGTAGTCTGTTTTTCGCCCCATCCGAATGACTAGACGACCATGGCAAAGCAATGCAATGGGTTTAATGTTTCAACAGAATACTTCGATTATTCTGATATATATATCTTTGATTGCGCAAACAATGCGATATGGGAGAATTTTGCCGGGGTAGCGACATTTCCGTCTATTTGTTGATTTGGATCTGTTACGTGCACACCGATGTGTACACTGATGGGCGTGGTTTGTTTGAGCCTTCCGAATAACTTGTCTCAACTGGCGTGGTTTCGAATCCCCGGTTGTACGTGGCAAGGAGTAGGGTCGCCTGTCCAACCTCGTGGGTTTTCTTCGGGTCCTCCGGTTTCCTCCCACTGCTAAAGACCCCTACGCGCAAGCGAATTCTTGAAATAAAATTAAACCATATGTTAGTCCCGAAATGAGCTAGTTTGTGTCGAGTGGACCTTAAACCCCATCTCTCCCTCTCTCTCTCTCTCTCTCCGAATAACTTGTCAACATCCACAAATAAGGATATAGCATCGTGACGTGAATCTTTGACCACGTGACTGTTAAAACCACACAAAAAGCTGTGTCATTTCGCTTATCTCATTATTATTCATAGAATAGACCAGTTACCGCGTGACTATTCCCCTTGGTAATATCCTGATAATTATACACTCAGAGTGTTGTACCGACATCAAAGGAGCTAAATCTCTATTCTTTGGGATCTAGAAATTGGCACAAATGGGTCGCAATGCATATAATAATGTAATATAAATCTATATAAACTGATTTGCATTCAATCGTTTCTGTTTTTACTGTCATTTCTAATCAGCTATTTTCGGCGAAATACCCGAAGAGTCTGAACTGAAGGACAGTCTTTGGTGTCTGGTTATTCCAGTCTACACAGGTAGTATTCTCCTACGTGGGATCTGTTTAGTCGCGTTCATCAAGTCTGAACTGAAGAGTCTGAACTGAAGAGTCCGAAGAGTCTGAACTGAAGGACAGTCTTTGGTGTCTGGTTATTCCAGTCTACACCGGTAGTATTCTCCTACATGGGATATGTTATGTCGCGTTCATCAAGTCGCTTCATTACAAATGGCGCCCGATAGCATTCTGGTACGCGATTCATGTGCCAATTTTAAAATTATCATGTTGGATATCCAATAAATATTGGATATCAGAAGCCCATCTTTTCAGGGTAAGATAACAACATCAATGTTGATTTAAATTGACCAATAAATCGTGTTTTCAATGACGAAGACTGTGGATGATATTGAGTTATATAGCGTCTTGTCTTCTTTAACACTCAGGGGGGTTGGATGGCCGAATGGTTAGCGCGTGCACGTTGTATCATACGGTCTGTCATTGAGTCAGCTGGCGTTGTTTCGATTTCCCGGTTGCACGTGACAAGGAGTAGGGTCGCCTGTCCAACCTCGTGGGTTTTCTCCGGGTCCTCCGGTTTCTAACCACTGCTAAAGACCCCTACGCGCAAGCGAATTATTGAAATAAATAATTGAACCATATGTTAGACCCGAAATTACCTAGTTTGTTTTGAAAGGACATTAAACTCTCTCTCTCCCTCTCTCTCTCTCTCTCTCTCTGTCTCTCTGATCCTATTACCCACGGAATGATTCATTAAAGTCCCAACTCTGTAATTACCGTATACATAAAAATATTAGAACGCTACACATAATATCGGCGTAAAGATACCGGACTTACTCTAATCGTTAATGTTGGGGAATATATTTACATACCGGGTTCATCCTCGTGAGTGTCTATAACCCTGGTTTACTCTAGTCAGTATCGATATCCCTGGTTTACCCTAGTCAGTGTGTCTATATATCCCTGGTTTACCCTAGTCAGTGTGTCTATATAACCCTGGTTTACCCTAGTCAGTGTGTCTATAACCCTGGTTTACCCCAGTCAGTGTGTCTATATAACTGGTTTACCCTAGTTATATATTAGAACGCTGCACATAATATCGGCGTAAAGATACCGGACTTACTCTAATCGTTAATGTTGGGGAATATATTTACATACCGGATTCATCCTCGTCAATGTCGAGAACCCTGGTTTACCCTAGTCAGTGTCTATAACCCTGGTTTACCCTAGTCAGTGTCTATATATCCCTGGTTTACCCTAGTCAGTGTGTCTATATATCCCTGGTTTACCCTATTCAGTGTACCTATAACCCCGTTTTACCCTAGTCAGTGTGTCTATATATCCCTGGGTTACCTTAGTCAGTGTGTCTATATAACCCTGGTTTACCCTAGTCAGTTTCTATAACCCTGGTTTACCCTAGTCAGTGTGTCTATAACCCTGGTTTACCCTAGTCAGTGTGTCTATATATCCCTGGTTTACCCTAGTCAGTGTGTCTATATAACCCTGGTTTACCCTAGTCAGTATCTATATCCCTGGTTTACCCTAGTCAGTGTGTCTATATAACTGGTTTACTCTAGTCAGTGTGTCTATATATCCCTGGTTTACCCTAGTCAGTATTGAGGAATATATTTGAAGAGTAAAAGTTGTATCTAGAAATCAATATTTAATATGGTGCAAAGTAGATCATGACTCGAGTAGGTTCATCATCATTATTCATACAACTTGTAGTATTCACGTTTCACTATAAATCTGGAGGGGGGGAGGGGGGTGCGGTGGATCAGTGAGTAGAAGAGAAAAATGGGGTTTAACGCCCACTCGACACAAACTAGGTCATTTCGGGACTAACACACGGTTCAGTTTTATTTCAATAATTCGCTAGCAAGTAGGGTTCTTTAGCAGCGGGAGGAAACCAGAGGACCCGGAGAAAACCCACGACAGACCTTATGATATAGCGCGTCGTAGGCACTAACCATTTGGCCATCCACCCCCCCACCCCCCGCCTAAAAAGTAAGGCTGGACTAAACATTCGTGGATCTTGGGGGTGAGGGTGTGGGCGCCACCTACTTTGTTAGATGACAAATTTAAAATATGCCATTTAAAGAATAATTAAGAACTTTTGATGAGCTTTTCATTTTTTGTCCTTCCCATTCTGATTAAAATACACATCCTATTTCGTTTCGGTTTTTTTTTATAGTTCAACATTTTGCTTTACTAATATTGTTATATAAACCGCGTTCTGGTTGATGTGAGGGATTGGCCAATGAAACAGCCTTTTGCGGCAGGTTCTTGGCGTATGGGGCACGGAGCTGTGGGTATTCCACTTGAAACATCATCGCTGATTGGTTAATCAAATGTCTGACGTCATAGGGTCAAAGGCTGCTCGTATGACCCGTGACGCGACCTCCCACTACAACCGGTCAGTTATTTTAACGATCAGTTAAACTCTAACTATAGTTTGTTAACGGTCCGTTAAATTTCTGTTACTGGAAAGTTCATTTCATTATAAGTCCTTCGGATGAGACGAAAAACCGAGGTCCCGTGTAAACATTGGAATGCACGTAAAAGATCCCTTGGCAGTTGGATTTCAATATAAAAGTAGGCGATAGTGCCGCTGCCCGGGCAAAATTTCCGTCTAGCACACTGTATGGCGTATGTCCGTCTTCATTAGCCCAATATAGGAGCAGAACAGTAGGACGTTAAACCCCATTTCATTTCATTTCATTATCCGTTAGCTAACGGACTGATTAAAGTAGCTAAGCCTCTAACTCAATATCATCCAAAATCTTCGACATTGAAAACATGAATTATTTGTCATTTCAAATCAACATTGTCTTGCGATCTTACAGGGAAAAGATGGGCTTCTGATATCCAATATTCAAGACAAAATAAACATTTTGTCTTTGGTACACGGATCGTGTACCATAATGCGTTTCAGTGCCATTTGTAACAAGGGACTCAAAGAACGAGGCTAGACATATTCCACAAGTCATGTCAAATAGTGACGCTATATTCTTAATGTGAGAGCATGCGCAATAAATATTATCGGTTTAGACTGGAATAACCAGACGTTAAAGATTAGCTTCAATTGAGACTTCTGGCGTATTTCACCGAACATAGAGAGCGAGAGAGAGAAATGGGGTTTAACGTCCACTCGACACACACTAGGTCATTTCGGGACTAACATATGGTTTAATTTTATTTCAATAATTCGGTTGCGCGTAGGGGTCTTTAGCAGTGGGAGGAAACCGGAGGACCCGGAGAAAACCCACGAGGTTGGACAGGCGACCCTACTCCTTGTCACGTACAACCGGGGATTCGAAACCACACCAGTCGACTCAATGACAGACTTTATGATACAGCGCGCGCACGCTAACCATTCAGCCACCCGATCCGCCTATTATTAGCCTGCTAGTAGTAGAGAGTTGTTAGTCATTTTTAGATGCTCGTAGCAGCGCTAAGGGTGCCTCTGCGCCTCTGGGGGTAAATTGTTAGCCGCTACAGTAACAACTAACAAGGGCAGCCTTTGTTATCTACTATAGTAGCAACTAACAAGGGCCGTATAGTTTTTATTTTCCTAATAAATAAATCGAGACTTGGAAAACTAACTTTATTCCCATTTTCTGGTTATTGACGAAATGTGGACTTATTTAATAAACAACTAAATTACTCATATTTTACTGCGGCCAAAATATTTATGAATAATACTAAAATAGGGATTAAAGATGAGATTTTGTGTAGATAATCAAGGCCCTATCCTATTTATAGGAGGAAACTGTGCGCTGTATGCATATATATTATTATTTAATGAACTTTCTTTTCAGAGGTCCCTATATTCTAATTTCGACAATTATAACATATACACTGTACATTGCATAAACTTCTCTCGAACAGTTCTGAGTCGCTTTTTGATCCACCATTTTATAATTTGCTCCCTTTACTATAGGAGTATTCTTCCCGTCTTAATGGATGTTTTGGTACATTAAAATCTGATCTTATCTATTATCTATTCCAATCGTATTTCTGACTATAGCAGTAACGATTTGTAGGCCTACTAATTTAATAAAAATAAAAAAAACCCACGTAATTTGTCCTTTCGTTTTAAATGTATCGAACGTTAAATTGTTATTCGTAATATCTCTTTTCAATGCTAAAGTATGAAAACATTTGTTAGCTATGTAAATTCATCAAATCAAAAGTTCTAGAAAGATTTGGAATATTCTGATTCTGTAACAAATGTAAATTTATATTTCGGTCATTTTTGAAAATAGTGAGTTACTAGGGATTCGTCGTGGCCTAGATTCCGATTTGACTTTTAATGGAGGTATAACCGTGGCTGTAACAGGGACTTTCTTCTTGTCAAAATTTTATATCGAATGCAGCTAAGTCAATTTATTATGTCACACAATTAATTATTATCTTTAATCCAGTCAAAAACTGGAACTATTTTGCGATATGGTTCCATTTCGAGCGGTGATCTGGTTATGCGACGCGTTTACCCGAATAATTCGCTTTCAGAATCTGATTATTCTGTTACCAATTTAATAATATAATTTAAAAAAAACAAAACTGTTTAGGATTATCTTATTTACGGAAGAGAACGTGTAATGGGTCGAATGTCTCGTCAATACAATATCAGACATTCTGAGATTAATTTGTTTTTATCGTTAGATAAATTTATCGTCTCAAGGAATGAGGCCGAAAGTTTTGAAACTGAATCAATCGGGTTGACTGAAAAAAAAAAAAAAAAAAAAAACCCTAAGCATGTCGCCACGGCCATGGCATCATTATATCTAACCTTTTATGCTTTTATGAAGTCAAAGAACACGTTGATTTGTTTCGCGACCTATACATAGGCCTACAGTATTTGTTTAAAGACCCAAACGGTAAGTATTTCATATAGTTTATTAATAATTAAATTTTTCTATACATAGCCTACTAGATCTACTTCCTCTCACAGCCAAATGTGTATAGAACCAAAACTTTGAACTTAAAAGGCCAGGCAAATTTTCTGATTTCATGTAACAATGCGTTGTTATTTATTGTTACTGTTATTAGGGCCTATTATATTAGTTATTTCTTATTATAAGGGCCTGTGTTGAAGAAATTCCCTTACTGAAAAAGAAGACAATGATGCAAAATTAGATATCATTTTTCGATTTTTACAAAATAGATTGAATGTGAAAACAGGACGAAAGCAAAAAGATAGGCAACGTATGACATATTAAATTATTGCGGCTTTAGTTTTAGTCTACTTTTAGACACTTTAGTCTTACTGAGCTGGAAGGAATTAACAGTGTGACCTGCTCTAGTAGTCATTCAGTTGTTTTGTTTCGTAACGGTCACTCACGGACAAAGTCTTCTGTCAATTCCTGTCCGTCCTTATTATTATTAAGCCACAATATGAAAATACAACTCTTTTAGCCATTACCACAGTCTCTGTCTAAGGCTATTTTGGAGTCTTTTCCTTCTATTTTCACTGTATTTCTTTGTTTGCCAAAAGGAATCATTTTCCACAACATTTGATAATAGGCTATATATTGATAATAATCTATCACCATTTTAAAGTGTTTTGAATCACAAAATTCTATTTAAAAAAAGCAAAAAATTTGATTATTATTATTTATGTACAGTTCTATGGATTGCAATTACCAGTGCTGCTTATTACTGAGCGATGTTTCGAGTAGGGAAGCCCAGTCGAAACATCGCTCAGTAATAAGCAGTAATTGTATTCCAGAGAATTGTGACCTGTATATTCCAGTTCAATTACTAAATGCGATTGAAACAATTCAGTATTTTCTTATTGAAGCTTTCCATTTGGACTGACAGGAATGGTCAAAGAATTTTGTCTGCGAGATACAGTTCTGACAGGAATTAGTCATTCAGATGGTACGATAAACAAGTTCCCCTGTACACGGCATGCACGTACCGGTAACTAAAAGAACCTTTTACAGTTTGAAATTGAAATAAGAGTAGGCGGGCAAACCAAAATTTCTTTATACATGTACTAGTACACTGCATGTCAGATATCGGTTTCATTATTCTCTGGTGTGGTTACCCCATGTCAGTGGTGCAGGACAGGGGCCTGACCAGGACAGCTGTCTAGTCATTTGGATGGGACAAAAAACAAGGTCACATGTTCACATTGGCGTGCACGTAAAAGATGCCGTGGCAGTTGGAATTGGATATATAACTTGTAAGAGTAGGTCATAGTGCAGCTGTCCGGGCAAAATTTCACTCATATCATGTACTCATCTTCATTAACCCAGGCGGAAAAGAACAGTAGGACATTAAACCCAATTTCATTTCATCTCCGTCTTCCATAGCTCGAATAATCCCATTTGGAATTTAATTCCCCAAACAACCTTCAATTGTTGTTTTCTACATTCTACACTAGTGGGATTAGTTGCAGAAAGTATGACAATAAACACCCCATTTCATTTCTTTAGTATAAATTGTCATGTAATTTTGTCCATGCTATCAGTCTATCTATCCATTTCATATAGTTTACGTTTGTGCCTTTTTAGAAATGAAATGAAATGAAATGAAATGGAGTTTAACGTCCTACTGTTCTACTCCAAACTGGGCTAATGAAGACAGGCATATGCCATACAGTGTGCTATGAGGGGAGATTTTGCCTGGACAGTGGCGCTACGGCCTACTCTTATATTGAATTCCAACTGTCAAGTGATCTTTAACGTGCACGTCAATGTGTACATGGGACCTCAGGTTTTTGTACCATCCGAACGACTAGACAGCTGTCCTTGTCAGGCCCTCCATCCTGCTTCACTGACAAGGGGAAACATGGACTGGTAACAATGAGTGAACGAAGGGAGGAGGGTGGCTGGTACATAAGTTTACCTTACATATAAAAAAGAAAAACAGTCCATGGACCCAATAACTATTCCTAAGCACATGTGTATGTCATTAGTAAGGGAAAGTGAGGTAATGTTAAATATTATGTTAATTTTGGAAATTTAATTTGTAAACAAATTAATCGCCACCCAGATTCTTTCCATAGAAAAAGCTAAGCTTATTATTACTGCACCAAGTTATTAGTAAAGGTTAGATTATCTGTACAAATTTACCAGCACACAAAGACTCTCCTTTTATATTATAGTGCGTTCAGACGTTGACATTGAACTGGATTGAATATCGTCTGAACACAAAGGTGGGACCAAATAAACCAGTTTAACAACCCCACCTGTAGCCGTCTTAAAATCTCTGGCTCCAGCTTGCTTTGGGCATGCACAGTACCGTAAACTATAGCCTGTTCCTGGCAAAATGACGACATGTGCAACAGCATTCGGTCTTAAATACCCTGCAATTTTGAACTAGTTTGAATATAAGCTTCTGAATAGGCTACCAGAAGGAAATAAACATTTTAAACCCACTTACTTTACAATTTTCTCAAGCTAAAAATAAATTTGGGGGTTAAACTGACCAGAAATAGAACAGACAGATCCAGTTTGTGGCGATTTACAACGTACAAGGACATTGATGCATCTCAGAATAGTTTCTGTAAACTATAGGCCTAAACATGCACAAGGCCTCCAATCTAATTCTGAATTGGCCTTTTGTGTAGTGAAGTGAAGGTTAACCAATGCGGTATTTTTAACTATGTTAGTGTACATGTACATGGCAGTAGCTAAATAATTTTTCACATTATGTTTTATTTATATTTTTTAGAAGTTGATTTGGAGAAAAATAAAGCTCCTTAAGCAGAGAAAAGACACAAGAATGTATTGATGTTGGATGTTTAAGTTGAAAAAATCAAACTAAAGACTTCAGCAGAAGTGAAATGATCCCAAAAAGAACTTAAGGGGGGAATATGTTTCAAGTAATTTCTTTATACTTTCTAATTATGTGCCTTCATTTCAACTTACAGATACATTATGTAAGATTTAGATAGAGAGCTAGCCATTCTTGCTATAATAGTTCGAAAAAAGATAATGTAAAATGAATAATATTGAAAATTTCATTCAAATTGCTTTATTGCCAGCGAAGATATTAGAATTTGAAGTTTTGAAAAGACTCGTGCAATAATTGCATCGACCGTACTGGTTGTTCAAAGCTAAGTCTCGCTCCTCCTTTTTAAGATTTAATCAAAATATGGCTGAACTGTTCTAATCTAGCTAATATCAGAGAAATCAGATGACATCAAGAGATGATTAGTTAAACTTACATTATGCAAGAGCTAAATCTGCCTATTGCAGGTCTTTCTTTAGCCTGAAAAGTTATCTAAATTATTAATAAGATATTAATAAACTGATCCAGACCATAATCAACTCTTGATGCCATGGGATGTCTCCGATATTAAATAGATTAGAACGGTTCAGCCGTATTTCGATTTAATTTAGAATTGGAGTATCAAGGCTTAGCTTAAGTAAAGTGGTTGCAATTAATGCACACATCTTGTCAAACTTCAAAGGATCATATCTTCATTCGCAATAGAGTAATTTACAGGAAATTTCAATTTATTCATTTTACATCATCTATTTTCAAACTGTTATAGCAATAATGGCTAGCTCTTTATCTAAATCTTACATAATGTATTTTTAATTAATGTCTAATTAATAATTTAGAAAACATTTCAGGCCTAAAGAAAGACTTGCAATAGGCAGATTTAGCTCATGCATAATGTATGTTTAATGGTTGTTACTGTACAATATACTTCATAAACACCCTACAGGTCAGAATTTCTGTAAGGGTTTGGCTAGTTCGAAGAGTCACCCAACCATCACTTTGTTAACGTTCACTGTGTATTATTTTGTGAATCTTGTATTGTGAACTCTCTAAAAAAAATTATTGTCCCCCGCCTTTCGAAGAAAGCAGGGAACTATTAAAATGGGTTCGTTTGTCTGTCTGTCTGTCCGTCAGTTTGTCTGTCCGTCACACTTTTTGGGACACAATAACTCTCTTTCTAATTGAGGTAGAATATTCAAACTTGGTGACAGTGTAGGTGTTTATTAGGTCAATACCTAATAAAGATGAGTGCAAAGATGAGCATTTTCTGCTTAGGTTAAGTAGAGATAAGCAAATTGATTGAGTGATGAAGCTTGATGTATAATTTCATTACATCAATACCTTGACTATGTTCGATAATGAGCATTTTCTGCTCAGGGTAAGCAGAGCGATAAGCTATTTGATTGGCAGAGATTTTAGAACACAATAACTCTCCTTCTAATTGAGCTATAATGTTCAAACTTCTTGTAGATGTTTATTAGGTCAATGCCTTAATGGAGTTCGAAGATGAGCACTTTCTGCCTAGGGTAAGCAGAGATAAGCAATTTGATTGGTTGATGCTTTGGGACACGATAACTTTAGTTCTAATTAAGTGAGAGTGATGAAACTTGGTGTATAGTTTCATTACATCAATACCTTGACTAAGTTCGATAATGAGCATGTTCGGGGTAAGCAGAGCGATAAGCAATTTGATTGGTCGAGACTTTGGAACACAATACCTATCATTTTAATTGAGTTAGAATGTTCACACTTGCCGTAGGTGTTTAGAAGATGAGAATCTTCTACTTAGGGTAAGCAGAGATAAGCAATTTGATTGGTTGATGCTTTGGGACACGATAACTTTAGTTCTAATTATGTGAGAGCGATGAAACTCCTAATATATTAATCCAATAAACTGAAATCAAGGCCTGAAATGTATTACTAGATTGTAAAAATGGATAAGTACTGCAAAGTTTAAGCAGTACCTTGTTACAGGAGTATTTCCGGCTGCATGAACGGTCATGTCCTCTGTATTCACTTCACCTGTGTTGTCATTTTTAGATTTAATGGCATTTATATTAATATTGGAGCCCTGGAGAAGACCATCCTGGTTGATTTTCAGGTGATCTATATTGGTATTATAATTCATGCTGATCATATAATGTGATGGGTTGTGTACTGTATGTAACATAAATTATCTGATCAAATATATCATTGTAGGGAATAATGAAATCTAGAGAAGAATACCAGAAGAAAAATGGTACAGGAGAAATTTCAAGATCTAGATTGGTAAAATGCTTTCTAGATGGAGCTTAGTAAATGCATTTCAAGATTGAGCTTATTAAAAATTGAATTCTAGAAATAGAAACCTTTGATTACCGTGCACCACAAGCTTTTGCTTACGATAATGTCGAATCATTTTGGTGTTGCAGAAATTGCAAAAGAGTGGATGGCGTCATATCTACAAAACAGGAGTTTTCGTGTAAAAGTTAAGAATGATTTCTCCGATGTAAAACATGTAAATTTTTCAGTTCCACAAGGTAGCATCAATGGTCCGATCTACTTTATCTGCTATACCAGTACACTAGCATCCTGCATCAGACACAATCAAACATTAGTTGGCTACGCCGATGACCACAGCTTGTATGACAGTTTTAAAGCCGGAGATCTTGATGCAAAATCTCATATTGCTTCCCGCGTATCAGAGTCCTTAGACGACGTTAAAATCTGGATGCTGCATAATCGACTAAAGATGAACGACGAAAAAACTGAGGTTATTATCTTCGGTGGTAGCCGTTAGCTCCACAAGTCTACCATCCACGAATTAAGAGTTGGGGATTCTGTAGTTGGGTCTTCATCCCGTGTTAAATTCCTGGGGATGCATTTGGACGAAAACTTAAACTTAAAGAGTCATTTTGCCCAGAAGACTTGTTGTGCTGCTTCGGCAATGTTCAACTTGCGGAAATTGAGTCTGTTTCTTTCGCGAGAATCATCTCTTCAAATTGCCAGTTCTTTAGTTTTCTCCCATATGGATTACAGAAATAGTCTGCTCTGTGGTTTGCCAGCAACTACTCTTCAACCTCTCCAACGAATTCAAAATTTTACTGCAAAGCTAATTCTTGGTGTTAATTACGGCCATAGCTCGACTGGTGCTCTGAAAGAACTTCATATATTGCCAGTTGAAGTCCGATGCCAATTCAAGCTACTGGTACTGGTGTATAAGTGTCTCCACAACCTTGCCCCTGTCTACCTTTCTGAATTATTGCAGTCCCAAACTTCATCATGCAATATGAGATCGTCATCAAAAAACATTTATACCCAAGACAAAAAGTAAAACATTTGCAGACAGATCGTTCAGTGTGCTAGGACCGCAGCTCTGGAATACCCTTCCAGAAAGTGTGAAACAATGTCAAACTGTAACGGATTTTAAAAAGAAACTCAAAACATATTTTTTTTGTAAAGCATTTCTTTAACGTTTGTGTAAGACTTTGTGAAGCGCCATTGAATGCATGGCAGTAATGTGCACTATATCAAATGTAATATGTTTTGTTATGTTATGTTATTACATCGTTTCTTCACAGACAGTTGAGTTGATGATAATGTAACAATAAAGAACTTTTTTCATTGGATCTTATTATTTCATTACAAATTTTGAATGTAAATACATGTAACATTTTGTTTTATATTTTGAAATATTGTATATATTATGGAAAATTGTGATAATTGTTTATTAATTTTGAAATATCTAGACTGTGATTTGGTTTTAATTCATGCATATGTAACGTAATCATTATTGATTAAACTTTGTGAAATAATTAGATCAGTTTTTTACGCCCACATTTTGATGTGGACGTATATTGTTGTCGTCCCTGTCTGTCTGTCCGTCCACGATTTGTTTTTGGGTGGACACGCTACAGGTCACAATTTTAATATAGGTTTATTGTCCAAAGATGTCTGTTTCTTTCGATATTGACATGTATCGGACTGTAACTTTATGGATTATGGCCCCTGATTGTACAAAAAATCACGTTTTTAGCTTGTGGACACTCCAGAGGTCACAAGTCTTATCCGATTTTGATGAAACTTAAAACGTATGTTTACAACCCAAACATCTCGGTTTCTTTCGAAACTATTCAAATATATCATGGTTACACCCTAATGATGGTTGAATTCGAATTTCGTGAAAATGGACGCTCCTTGTGCGATAATAGTGGAAAAGTATGTAATGTTTTAAAGAGGTCACAGTTTTTATCCGATATTGATGAAACTTAAATAATATGTTTATATCCAAAGGATCTCTGTTCCAGTAGATATTCACATATATCGAACCATAGCTTCCTGAATTATGTCCCCTGATTGTACAAAAAACACGTTTTTAGCTTGTGGACCCTCTTGAGGTCATAAAGACGCTCTAAAGGCTAAAGTTATAATCCAATTGACTTATACAAGAGGGGGGTTGGATGGCCGAATGGTTAGCATGTGCCCGCTGTATCAGAAAGCCTGTCATTGAGTCAACTGGGGTGGTTTCGAATCCCCGGTCGTACGTGACAAGGAGTAGAGTCGCCTGTCCAACCTTGTTGGTTTTCTTCGGGTCCTCCGATTTCCCCCCACTGCTAAAGACCCCTATGCGCAAGTGAATTATTGAAATAAAATTAAACCATGTTAGTCCCGAAATGACCTAGTTTGTGTCGAGTGGACGTTTAACCCCATTTCTCTCTCTCTCTCTCTTATACAAGATGTAAGTGTTATGGCCATCAGACGAAAAAAAACCATTGATTTTCAGTGACTACCAATAATTACTGGCAGAGTTATAGCCCTCACTGACATTGAAACATATTGTGGACTCTCTACAGGCTAATTACTTTATTACTTATTAATAGGTTGTTTCTTTTGATCAGCTTTTGTGTCATTTTGATGTTTCCACCTGCAAAACAACAAATATGACCCATACGGACTTCTCCGAAGACAAAGGTGCTGTGGGCGCATGTTTAGTTGCCAGTCAACCTATCTTTTGATAAACTTGAGACAAGTTTGCAATCAGCATGAGGCAATTAGCTACAATTAAATGTATAGTTAAACACACAGTTTAACGCTACAATTGATATAGTAATTCTATCACAATAGTGAAGACTGGACCACTAAAGTAGTTACTTTGTGGTAATGCGATTTACATTTTCAAAGCGGTGTTTCTTATAATTCGAAAGCCGCCATGACACCGGCCAGATGAAATAAGTTCGGTAGGCGAAAAATTACTCGTAGCAGTTTGGTTTCATATCATATAATTATGCGGTAAGGCTTCACCTTTATTTCAATGGGAATTGGTTTATTATATGTTAAGCTATGTACAGTACAGTTTTGGGCCAGTTTATGTATAAATTAAGGGAGCTGTAGGTCAGTAACCTTTTTGTAGTCATTTGACTAAAAAACTTACGCAAAGGAACTCCGCAGGACGAGCTACTACTGTGGCTGGAGTAAGGCGGAAGACATCAGTAGTGGAACCATCTCTACCCAACCAGTAGCCTAGTGGGTTTTCGTCGGGTTCTCCATATTGACTGACTGAGATACACATAACTACCGGTAACATCGATCGCACAAAAAAGTTACGGAATATGCGTTGGGAGGATTACAAAATGAAATGCGGTTTTACGTCCTACTTTTCTGCACCAACTGCAGGTGATACTGAAGACGAGCATACGACATGCATTGTGCTATGTGGGAAATTTTATCCGGATATCAAATCACACGGCCTACTCTTTTTCAACAACTCAACTGTCAATCAAGGGTTCTTTTACTTGATTACCAACGTGTAAGGCTAGACACTGTCTGCATCACTGACAAGTGGAAACCGCGATTGGAAATCCCAAGAAACTTCCTCGGCCAGCACCTAGATCGGATACCCTGATTAATGAACCAGCGTCTTACACCGTGGCTCGTTGGGAGGATTACGTCTCCTCACCCACAAACGTATAAATGCATAATTATATGACGGATTTATCATGTTCTTTGGCGTGAATGTGTGTGAATTTCACAAAATGGTATATCTATACTTACACAATTCGAGAGTCGGCCGTCGTAACCCTAAAATACCGTGCACAAATGCATGTAATACGCATTTAGGGTGTGTGCCGATTACAAAATTGCCATGTTAAACGCGTAAGGTGTGTGGGGATAATATAATTGCCATAATATATTAACTGGCTGCTACAGTTATCTTGTTTGGTGTAAGTTTTCCATACCGATCGATCTGTTATTCCCCAAAAAACCCAAATCATGGGCGCAAATATATGTACTACACATAGGACGTGTGCCTGCCACAATTACTTTAATTTGTGTGAATTTTCCATACCGATCCATCTGTACTTGACATATTACTATATTAATGTCGGCCATAGTAATCCTGATAATAATAATAATGATATCGTTTATTTGTAAAGCGCGTTAATACAGAACAAAAACAGTTTCTAAGGCGCTGTTGGTTATATTCACTGATTATTTACAGATCAGGGTTTTGAAACAAGAATGTTTTGAGTTGAGATTTAAAATGGCCCACAGAGGGTAATTGTTTCATTGACTGTGGTAGTCATTCCAAAGAAAAGGGCTAGTATAAGAAAGGGTACGTTTTCCAAGTTGTAAGTTAATAGCTGGAGATTTTAGAATATGTTTTTTCTGAGAACGAAGATTTCTGCTGGTGGTATAGGGTTCTACAAGACTTTTTATATGAGATGGAGCTTGGCCGTTTAACGCTTTGCAGATAAAGAGGAGTAAATTGAACTTAATTCTTTGCTGAATTGGGAACCAATGTAGAGATTGCAATACCGTGGAGATGTGTTGCTATTTCTAGTTTTAGTGAGGCACCGAGCTGCTGAATTTTGAACATGACGTAGTTTGTTAATCTGATAGTCTGGTAAGCCGTATAGTAAACCATTTTGGTAACCTAGTTTAGTTGAGATGTATGCGTGAATGAGTTCTCCTTTATTTACATAAATGGGATAGCGTTGGATCTTTCAAATTCGATGTATATGATAGAAGGTGGTGGAGCAAATACTTTGTATGTGATCGTTCAACGATTGGTTCGAGTCTAATACAGCACCAATATTTCGAGAGTTATAGAATCCTGTTGGATTTCTTTAATAATGGTTTAACAATGGCTTTTCCATTAAATATTAATGTCTGTTACAATTATTTTAATTTGTGTAAATTTTCCATATCGATCAATCTGTACATGACATATACTAAGCAGCAAACGAAACGTCGGGTTGGTATGTTAATCTGAATAGACGCATTGCATAAAATATGTCAAATGTTTTTATTATTTGTGACCACATCTCCAACCTTACCTGAGCAATAAGGCTCCTTCTCAAACACGGAATTGAACCCAGGAAATATTCTCAAAAACGCAACCTGACTTCTGAGATGGTAATGTGTTCTCCATGATTTTCAAGTAACTCATGCTGCACGTGCTGTTCACCGGGACCAGTCCTATAAAATGCACCCCATACCTGGTTGAATCATTCACACTACAACGTCAGCAGCATGCCACGACTCACGACAGCTCAGAGGGACCAGGCGCTTGGAAGACTCGACGCTCGCCACACTGCCCAAGCCGTTGCCAATCACTTACAGGTCAATGTTCGGACCATCTACAGGCTTCAGCAACGCTTTCGAGTCACCAACACCACGGATGATCGCCCCCCGAACTGGTAGACCACGGGTTACAAGGCCTAAAGACTGCCATGTTCTGCGACAGCAATTGTAGAATCCCTTCACACAGGCGTCTGAGACAGCACGTCAGACAGTGGGAACACACGGAAGACCCATTAGTACCGATACAGTGCGCCGACGTCTTAACAGAGAGAACATCCATTGCCGTAGACCTTACCGTGGACCGATCCCCATCCAACGCCATCGACGTGAACGTCTACAGTTTACCCAACAACACCAGAACTGGTGAGACAGACAGTGGAGAACGATTTTTTTTAACAGATAAGAGTAGGTATTGCTATCAACTGCGGATGGCAGGACAAGAATATGCCGTTGAGGTGGCCAGTGTTATTCTGACCAATGTGTCATGTGTCATGCTTTGATCCATTTAGTAAGTCGTTTTCTAGAATGATTTAATTAAAGTGCCTCTCTGATTTTGAAATCGTGCTGACATTTATCAAATTGCCATTGAATATTAATTGTCTGCTACAATTATTTTAATTTATGTGAATTTTTCATATCTATTTTCCTTCAAAATAGCAAGTTTTCTCAATTTATGAAGAATTACAACAAGAAATATAATATCGACATCCTTTTATTAATCAATCAATAAATTATAGCTGATAAAATGAACAAATTATTCACACCATAATTGATAAAATGACAATAAACTATCTACAATATAGTTAACAAAATAAAATCGCCAATAAATCAATCACACTATAGTTGATAAAATAAACAATATATTAATTTCACTACAGTTGTTAAAATGAGCAAAATAAATTATTTTCACTTTAGTTGATAAAATGAGCAAATCATTATTCACAGTATAATCAATAAAATGAGAAATAAATTATTCACACTATAGTTCATATGAACAATAAGTTATTTTAACTAATGAGCAATACGCCATGTACACTATAGTTGATTAAATGAAAAAATTATACATACAGTCAATAAGCTGATAAACACTTCATAACACTGAATAAACTATGTATCAATGCACTCAATATGTTTATAACCCTTTATCAATACAGTCAATATTGTGATCAACAAAATTTAACAATACACTTGATACACTATAGTTG